CCCGAATTCCACAACTCGGGTCGCGAAGAAAAATAACAATAATAAAAATAGATAATTAAATAATTAATTAATTAATTATATTCACTTGAGTAAATAAATAATTAATTGAAGAAAACTGGTGTCATCCACCACATAAATAACAATAATAATAATAATAATAATAATAATAATAATAGTTTCATAAAATAAATAATAGCATAATTAATTAACCATTTATATTAGACTATCCAAATGAATCCACGTGTACACAACCTAAACAATAATTGTTCAATCCCACCATATAAGTCATGGCCACCATGGCCTCATTACAATCCATAAAGTGAGAAATAATATTAAGGGATTACATGAGTAAAGATAAGAGAGAAAATTCCATAAGAACTCCAAAAGATAGATGGGTGATTTCCTACGTCATTTCCTTTCTCCAAAAGAATATTACAAATATGTCATCAAATATAATATCCAAAATACACCATGTGTCAAAATACAAATCCAAAAGTAAGCTACACAATGGATGTCACAATTATCACAAGTAGCTCAAAAATGTTATCAAGATCCCAATCAAGCTAGGGATGAGGAACCTCGTCTTGGGCAATACCATTTCCTGAAAAATATAAGAATCAATGGGGTGAGCAACGAATTGCTCCGTAGGAATGTCTCATGAATATAAACTAGGTTTCTCAAAATTCTACAAACATTGCATGGTCATACAATACAAGGAACATGCTCCCTAACGTCTAGTCTCAAGGAAAACCTAAATAGGATCATCCTAGTCTAGCATAAATAATATTAATTCATTCATCAAGACAAACATAAATAATATAGTGTAATGTACATAAATTTACAAGTTCCAATAACACATAAATGCCAACTTGAAAATAAAAGTCGAAATCAATTAACGGGATAACTCGGAACACACCCACACTCCCGGTCACATAGCCATGCTATACACCTAAATAAAAATAGTCGTTTTCGGATTACTAGTCCACCGGAAACTAGCCGATTGGCCAATATAAAGTGGGGAAACTCATGTTTCACCCGCGAGCGCCGAGCCCTCGCATTCTCAAAGTAACAACCCCCGAGTATCTCCCAAAATCAACAAACAAGTCCACAAAATAATCCATATTCCATGATATGCCCAAATTGCACTTCACATGTGCACATAAATTATACTAATCACACAATCCATGTCCTATGGTCTAAATTACTATAATGGCATACTCTTTGATGTAATGTCAACTAATTGGGTATTTTAAAGTCATTTAAATTCATGTTATCATTATATCAAATTTCAAGTGTTTAAAAGTTTAACATCATCATAGATATATACATCTTCAAAATTAACCTTCACAAAATAACAAATACATGATAATTCCATGAATAAACACAACATATAAGGTACTTTAATTACAAAAAATTGTACACATTAAGATCTAGGACTTTAATTAACACCCATAATATCAACAATGGAACAAATAACATATTACACATGAAAATTGATATAAAAACTCAATAAAACATTATGGACATGCAATTAAATCATTATATAAGCTCTCTAATTAAACCCACACATATAAGTGTATGCATAACTCACACAATTGTCATAAAATTCCAAGAACTCCTAGGTTATAAGCACAATACACCCCTACCTCAAGCTAGGAGCAAACCCTAGCTACTCCAAAAGAAAAATGTGCTCCAAATCCAAAATTGATTAAGGAGTTTTGTTCCTCTCGTAGTCCCCGTCAACTTCCCTTCTATGCAAGCTCAAAATGTCAAAGGTTGGAGGAGAAATGGTGGAGAAATGGTTGAAGTAAAATGAAAAATAAAAGAATGGGAGAAAGTGTCGGTGGAGTGAGAGAAATGAGAGGATTTTTGGTCTATCTTACACTTTATCTCTCTATACACATACCTATACATGTCACATACATTCTCATCCACACATATCTCACCCACTAGTCAACCTAAGCCCCACAACATAACAAAATGCAATTAAAAAAATATATATAAAAGGAAAATAAAAATAAAAATAAACTTGGTCATCATAACCTCCCCAACTTAAAGGGATTTTGTCCCCGAAATCAGGTCATACCTCAAGTTGCAAACAAATCCGGGTACTTGGAGTGAACCTCCTCCTCCCATTCCCAGGTAGCCTCCTCAACTCCGTGATGCCTCCATAAAACCTTGACCAATGGAATGGTTTTGTTTCTCAACACTTGCTCCATAGTGTCAAGAATCTGCACCGGCCCCTCCTCGTAAGTCGCATTCTCATCAACCTCAATGTCTGCCCATCTCAAAATGTGTGATGGATCTGGCTCATACTTTCTCAACATAGAAACATGGAATACATTGTGAACCTTATCCAAATGTGGGGGTAACGCCAAGCGATACGCAACATCACCAACACAATCCAAGATCTTGAATGGCCCAATGAACTTAGGAGACAACTTTCCACTTCGCCCAAAATGTATTAATCCCTTGCGTGGAGCGATCTTGAGAAAAACATGGTCTCCCACCTTGAATGCAATGGTCTCCTCCTCTTGTCAGCATAGCTTTTCTGCCTATTTTGAGCCGTGACCAACCGCTGTCGAATCAACTTGATTTTCTCCGTGGTCTCAATAACAATGTCGGGACCCAAGGCAGCTGTTTCTCCTACCTCGGTCCAATAAACTGGAGATCTACAAGGTCTGCTATATAATGCCTCGAAAGGTGCCATCTCAATGTTGGCCTGATAACTGTTGTTGTAGGCAAACTCTACCAAGGGCAAGTGATCTTCCCAACTGCCTCTAAAATCTAAGATGCAAGCTCGTAGCATATCCTCCAATGTCTGAATGGTACGTTCTGACTTACCATCAGTCTGAGGATGGAATGCTGTGTTAAAATGAAGCCTTGTTTCAAGAGCCTCCTAAAAACCCTACCAAAAATGTAAAGTGAACCGTGGATCCCTGTACGAAATAATAGACACCGAAACCCCATGGAACCTGACAATCTGCCCCACATACTGCTTACTGAGCTTCTTTGCATCATCAGATACTTGCATAGGCAAAAAGTGAGCTGTGTTTATCAACCTGTCGACTATGACCCAAATGGCGTCATTCCCCTTCTTTGACCTCGGAAGTCCCGTCACAAAATCCATGGTAATGTGCTCCCATTTCCACTCCGCTACTGGCAATGGTTGCAACAAACCCGCTGGCCTCTGATGTTTGGCCTTCACTTGTTGACAAGTAAGGCACTTGGCCACAAACTGTGCAACATCCCATTTCATACCCTTCCACTAAAACTGATGTCTTAAATTGTGATACATCTTGGTACCGCCTGGATGAACAGCAAGTCGAGAATGGTGAAAGTCTTGATGAACACTATCACGACAAGCCAAAAGGACATACGTCTTTCCCTTAAACCTAATACCTCCATCTAAATGTAGTATCCAACCATCTATAGACTCACCACCTGAAATCCGTGTGCGAATGGACTCTATCTCGTTATCCTTCTTTTGTGCCTCAATTACCTTGCTAACAAGGGTTGGTTAAGCCATAAGACTAAACAAAGTAGCCGGTGCATCATCATCACTGAAATACAGACCCATCTCTGCAAAATCCTCCATCATTTTCCATTCCCGGATGGCAATGCTAGCCAAGTTTCCATGTGACTTCCTACTCAAGGCATCTGCCACAACGTTAGCCTTTCTTGGGTGATACTGCAAATCAAAATTATAGTCCTCTATATACTCCACCCATCGTCATTGCCTCATGTTCAAGTCCTTTTGTGAGAAAAGATACTTGAGACTCTTATGGTCGGAGAAAATCTCAAACTTTTCCCCGTACAAGTAATGTCTCCATCCCTTCAATGCGAAAATCACTGCCGCCAACTCCAATCATGAGTCGGATAGTTATGCTCATGAGTCTTAAACTGTCTAGACCCATAAGCAACCACCCATTTCGTCTGCACCAAGACACAACCCAAACCATCCCGTGAAGCGTCACAATAAATCACATAACCCAAACCACGTTCAGGAATCACCAAAACTGGAGCCATAGTTAATCTAGTCTTCAACTCCCGAAAGGCTAGCTCACAAGCCTCATTCCATACAAACTTGATTCCCTTGCGAGTAAGTCGAGTCATAGGTGCCGCTAAATAAGAGAAATCTTGAACGAATCCTCGATAATAGCCAGTTAGGCTAAGGAAACTCCGAATCTCAAATACACTCTTCGGATGCTCCTAATCCATCACTGCTTCAATTTTCAAAGGATCAACTGAAACTCCTCCTCCTGAGACAACATGTCCAAGAAACTTTACTTCCGGTAGCCAAAACTCCCATTTCTCGTACTTGGCATATAACCGGTTATCCCTAAGGGTCTGCAACACTGTTCTCAAGTGAGACTCATGCTCCTCCTCCGAAGACGAGTACACGAGTATGTCATTAACAAATACCACCACAAACTCATCAAGATAGGTACTAAACACACGGTTGATCAAGTCCATAAAAGTTGCTGGAGCATTGGTCAAGCCAAATGGCATCACAAGGAACTCGTAATGGCCATACCGTGTGCGAAAAGCAATTTTAAGGATATCCTCATCCCTAACTCTCAACTGATAGTAGCCTGACCTCAAGTCTATTTTCAAAAACACTTAGCTCCCTTCAATTGATCAAACAAGTCATCTATCCTCGGTAAATGATACTTGTTCTTGATCGTAGCATGGTTCAACTTGCAATAGTCAATACAAAGTCTCAAAGACCTATCCTTCTTTTTCGCAAAAAGAACTGGTGCTCCCCACGGTGAAGCACTAAGGCGAATAAAGCCCTTTGCTTTCAAATCATCCAACTAGCTCTTCAACTCATTCAACTCCGCCGGTGCCATACGATACAGCGCCATAAAGATAGGCACAGTACCGAGTATGACATCAATGGCGAACACAACATCCCGTATGGGAGGCAACTCTGTCAATTCCTCCGGAAAGACATCAACGAACTCACCAACCACCGTTGGAAAACTATCACCCAGACTTCACTCTTCCTCGGCTAAAAGGCTAGCCAAGTACAACCTGTGGTGACCATAAACGGTCAAAGTGTGTGAATCACTCCGATCTCCCATAAAACAAAACCAATCTCCATTAGGAGTACATACGGTCACCCTCCCTCGAAAGCAATCAATGGTGGCTCGAAAAAAGGACAACCAATCTATCCCAAGAATGATGTCAAAACCCATCATCTTAAGAGGAATAAAGTCGAACCACAATGTCCGCCCGGCTATCTCAATAGCATAACCCCGACAAATCCTATCCAACGTAACTGGTCCCCCAACCGGTGTGTCAACACAAAGAACCCCATCCAAGGACGTGATCTCCAACCCCAATGAATATGCAAATGATGATGAAATGAATGAATATGATACACCTGAGTCAATCAAAACTCTAGCTTATGAACTAAACATAGGAAATATACCTCGAACAACTGAAGGTCCCACTGAAGTACCCGCCTGAGGAAGAGCAAAAACTCTGCCCTACTCTCCTAAACCCTGCTATCCACCACCCTGATACCCTGACTACTGTGAAGACATACTAGGTGTAGAGCCCCTAGTAAGTCGTGGGCCCTAAACTGAAGCTGCAGGCTGTAGTGTCTGTGGAACTCTGGATCCAGACTGGATAACGGATGACTGTGACTGCTTGTACTGTGATCCCATACCACCACGTGATCCACTCCCCCTCTGTGGGCACTCCCTCTTAAAATGTCCCGTCTGACCACAACTGAAGCAAACATTCGGAAGTTCGGTCGAAGCAGTAAAAGATTATGTGGTAGGTGTCTGAAGCTATGGGCAATGTAGCCTGATGTGTCCTGACTGATGACAATGGTGGCAGACTACCTCACGTGTGGATCCCAAAGATAAGGGAACTGTGGGTGCAGGACGTGCCTGCTACCGAGACCCCTGTGAGTATAAACTGCCCCCTCCTCCTCTAAACTTCTTCAATTGACTCCCTGAAGATGAAACCTCACCCCTGAAATGCTTCTTGGACTCCTTCATCCGCTGTGAGTCCCTGTCCTCTGCCTCCACAAGCAATGCCCGCCTCACCACTTCAGAATAGACCCTCAAATCCAAGACTGAAACACGGGGCCTAATGTCAAGGTGTAAGCCATCCTGAAACTTCAAGGCCCTGTCCTCATCGATCTGTACCAAGTCCGGTACATAGCGAGAAAGAGACGTAAACTTATTCTTATACTCCATGACACTCATACTCCCTTGGTATAGGCCATCAAACTTCTTTCTCATTTCCCTCATTGCGGTCCTTGGGAAATACTTCTCATAAAAGAGCCCCTGAAAGACTTCCCAAGTCATCGTCTCAATATCATGGGTGTTGGTGATAGATCTACACCAAACCTCGGCATCACCTGTGAATGAGAAGGATGCTAGAGAGATCCTCAACTGATCTGTGGGCACCGCTATATCGTCAAGTTTCTTGACCGCCTGGTCAAGCCAAAACTCTGCCACTAGTGGATAAATCCCCCTGCAAATGGCTAAAGCTTGAGCCTCTGAAATGTCACAAGGTAGTCCATAGCCTGGTTAGCCACTACTGGCTCTAGAGGCCTCAATCCTGCGGTAATTCTCTGAACCATCTCCTCTATGGCCACTATGAATCCACGTGTCATCTCCATCATCACTTGTGTGCCATCAAAAGAAGTAGATGGTGGGTCAACACCCACGCCTCTGCTCCTATCCCTCCTAGGGTGAACCATATCCCTAAGAAGTTGTGTCTCATCCACATGCTCCCCAAGGTTAGGACGCGAAATCTCTCCAGTCTCACGTCTAGGCAGCATGGTTCTATAAGTACAATGGAAACAGATGAATATAGACGTAAGTCAATAATTAAATGGAAATGCTCATAATCCCATGCAATTCACTCAATGGAAGCATAAAACGCAATGCATGATAATGTGAACCAACATATAAATCATGCTAAGTCATAAAACAAAATGTCTTAAACAATTAAGCACATAAGCACGTAACAAATAATTATCATGTAAGCATGGAACACGAAATAAACCCAATCCGTCGTCCTTAGGTTTTCGAACCCGAATGTTCTGATACCACGTTGTCACGCCCCGAATTCCACGACTCGGGTCGCGAAGAAAAAAAATAGATAATTAAATAATTAATTAATTAATTATATTCACTTAAGTAAATAAATAATTAATTGGAGAAAACCGGTGTCATCCACCACATAAATAATAATAATAATAATAATAGTTTCATAAAATAAATAATAATATGATTAATTAACCATTTATATTAGACTATCCAAATGAACCCACATGTACACAACCTAAACAATAATTGTTCAATCCCACTATATAAGTCATGGCCACCATGCCCTCAATACAATCCATAAGGTGAGAAATAATGTTTAGGAATTACATAAGTAAAGATAAGAGAGGAAATTTCATAAGAACTCCAAAAGATAGATGGGTGAGTTCCTACATCATTTCCCTCCTCCAAAAGAATATTACAAACATGTCATCAAATATAATATCCAAAATACACCATGTGTCAAAATACAAGTCCAAAAGTAAGCTACACAATGGATGTCACAATTATCACAAGTAGCTCAAAAATATTGTCAAGATCCCAATCAAGCTAGGGATGAGGAACCTCATCTTGGGCAATACCCTTTCCTGAAAAATATAAGAATCAACGGGGTGAGCAACGAATTGCTCCGTAGGAATGTCTCATGAATATAAACTAGGTTTCTCAAAATTCTACAAACATTGCATGGTCATACAATACAAGTAACATGCTCCCTAACGTCTAGTCTCAAGGGAAACCTAAATAGGATCATCCTAGTCTAGCATAAATAATATTAATTCATTCATCAAGACAAACATAAATAATATAGTGTAATGTACATAAATTCACAAGTTGCAATAACACATAAATGCCAACTTGAAAATAAAAGTCGAAATCAATTAACGGGATAACTCGGAACACACCCACACTCCCGATCACATAGCCATGCTATGCGCCTAAATAAAAATAGTCGTTTTCGAATTACTAGTCCACCGGAAACTAACCAATTGGCCAATATAAAGTGGGGAAACTCATGTTTCACCCGCGAGCGCCGAACCCTTGCATTCTCAAAGTAACAACCCCCGAGTATCTCCCAAAATCAACAAACAAGTCCACAAAATAATCCATATTCCATGATATGCCTAAATTGCACTTCACATGCGCACATAAATTATACTAATCACACAATCCATGTCCTATGGTCCAAATCACTATAATGGCATACTCTTTGATGCAATGTCAACAAATTGGGCATTTTAAAGTCATTTAAATTCATATTATCATTATATCAAATTTCAAGTGTGTAAAAGTTTAACATCATCATAGATATATACATCTTCAAAATTACTCTTCACAAAAAAACAAATACATGATAATTCCATGAATAAATACAACATATAAGGCACGTTAATTACATGAAATTGTACACATTAAGATCTAGGACTTTAATTAACACCCATAATATCAACAATGGAACAAATGACATATTACACATGAAAATTGATATAAAAACTAAATAAAACATTATGGACATGCAATTAAATCATTATATAAGCTCTCTAATTAAACCCACACACACAAGTGTATGCATAACTCACACAATGGTCATAAAATTCCAAGAACTCCTATGTTATAAGCATAATACACCCCTGCCTCAAGCTAGGAGCAAACCCTAGCTACTCTAAAAGAAAAATGTGCTCCAAATCCAAAATTGATTGAGGGGTTTTGTTCCTCTCGTAGTCCCCGTCAACTTCCCTTCTATGCAAGCTCAAAATGTCAAAGGTTGGAGGTGAAATGGTGGAGAAATGGTTGAAGTAAAATGAAAAATAAAAGAATGGGAGAAAGTGTCGGTAGAGTGAGAGAAATGAGAGGATTTTTGGTTTATCTTACACTTTATCTCTCTATACACACACATATACATGTCACACACATTCTCATCTACACATATCTCACCCACTAGTCAACCTAGGGCCCACAACATAACAAAATGCAATTAAAAAAATATATAATAGGAAAATAAAAATAAAAATAAACTTGGTCATCACACCATTACTTGTATTTATGATGTTCACTCCTTATCCTTCTCTGCTGACGGGTAAAGGGCATATTTTAACATGAATGTATATTGCAACGAGTGCCCATTGGAAATTCAAACATGAATTTAAGCCATGTATCCAAATGACACTCTTTGTAATATTTTCTCTCATTTTTTAACACAAAGATCAAATGTTTTTAGTCCAAAGCGTATATGTGGTTACGGTCCCACATCGGTTGGACATAGCTCCAAGTTTTCCTTTATATAAGGAACAGTGAAAGTAGTTGAGTGCATTGCAAAGAGGGCCCACTGGTAATTAATAGTACCAGCGGGCATTCTTTACAATAATTCTTTCTTTTTTAAGCCCAGAGTTCCTAGCCCAAAATGTAAACTCTACTTTTGTCCAACATCGTTTAAATACAAAAAAAGTGCATAGTTAATATAATTGCGTCACATTGACAATAAGTGCCAGAAAACGAGTCTCCGAGACAAAGACTTCTAGTCACATTTATAAAAAGTTACACAGTCTCGGTGACTCTTTTTCTTGGCCTCTTCCTCTTTTTTAAACTTCGGCCCTAAGAATTTGTAATTAATAAGGTTTTCCTCAAACGACATATCACATAGCCGAGGAAGTATCACATAGCCGAAGAATAACTCACCTCGGACCCCAAGTGTGCAAAGGTATCAACAAGCTCCTCTCAAGCTCATAGCCGAGGAGTAACCTACCTCGGACCCCAAGTGTCCGAAGCTATCAACAAGCTCCTCTCAGGCTCACAGCCGAGGAGTAACACACCTCGGACCCCAAGTGTCCGAAGGTATCAACAAGCTTCTCTCAGGCTCATAACCGAGGAGTAACCCACCTCGGACCCCAAGTGTCCGAAGGTATCAATAAGCTCCTCTCAGGCTTATAGTCAAGGAGTAACCCATCTCAGACCCCAAGTGTCCGAAGCTATCAATAAAATCCTCTCAGGTGAATAATAAAGGAATAACTCACCTCGGACCCCAAGTGACCGAAGGTATCAATAAACGTATTTCAAGAGAACAAACCAAAGAATACAACACCTCGAACCTCAAAAGGCTAATGGAAGACCAGCATGTCCAAACCCAAATAGGGGCAAATACTCTTTATGGATGTGTTACTATTGGGCTTTGGCAAACCCAAATAAAGGCAAGTACTCTTTATGGACTCTGATACCTAGCCCAATGGTTTCAAGCCCATAAAGAGTTTTCCCACATCGAAAACAAACAAGAAAAGGAAATACCATATACGATGTTACCTTATCACTGTTGATCGCCATGGAAGGTGCCCCCTGATAAATGGATCTTAAAGCAAAGTCGCTTAATCAGAAACTTGCATATCAGGGGAATCTCTTTCATGAGCCCATCTTTTAGAAAATCTTTGGATCACGAAGATATTAATTTTGAAGTTATTCCAATTTGCTTCAAGTTTCTTAGGCAAGTTGTCCCACATCGAAAGGATACAAGAAGTGGGATTGGTAAATATAAGCAGATGTCAATGCCAAGGATAGAGTAACAGTGAAATACAAGACCCCAAACAAATGCTTGGGAATTTGACCAGGTCACTGTTACTCTTTTCCTTGGCCTTCTCCCACTTTTGAATCTTCGGACCCACGTATCTGAAGAATTACGTGCTGAGGACCTTAAGTGTCCAATACAATGCAAGTCCTCTCAGGTTCATAGCCGAGGAATCCTATGCTTCAGATCCTAAGAGTCCGTAGATAACAACAAGCTTCTAAAGCATACCTAACTACAGAGGAATTTGCTACTCAGGACCTCCAGAGTCCAAGGATGCACCAATAGGTCTAAGCCTAAGTGAGGACGAATGTTCATAGCATTTCACTCCCAAAAATCAATGTATTTGATTAGGACAATTACTAAGCCAATTTAGTAACTTGTCCCACATCGAAATAAGACAAGAAGTAACAAGTATTGATATACCAACTTCATATAAATTAAGGGCAAGAAGGGTTCCTTTGACGGTTAGATCACTAAGTGATAAAACACTCCCCAGTCAGTGATTGAACTGTCACAGGAACTTCCTTTTTACCATCCCCTTTGTTTTTGCTTCAGACCATAAGAATATGCAAATTTTCAAAAGGAAGTATATAAATTATAGCAGATAATTTCTACAAGCAAAAGATATTAATGTCTATAAGCAAGGACATATATTGTTTCAAAGTAAAGGTTACACAAGTATACTTTCTTTTTGGGTCAAAAT